TCTCTCTCTCTTCCTTCTGTGACCCTCAATCTCAGGGTGATGAGGTGGAGCCCCACATTTGGCATAGAGTTTACTTAAAAAGAAAAAAAAAGGAGGGGTACCTGGGTGGCTCAGTTGGTTAAGTATCTGACTCTTGGTTTTGGCTCAGGTCATGATCTCATGGTCATGGGATTGAGCCCCGTGTCGGGCTCTGTGCTCAGAACAGAGTCTACCTCTCCCTCTCCCTCTGCTCCTCCCCCTGCGCACGCGCTCTCTTTCTCTCTCTCTCTCTCTCAAATAAATAACATCTTTTTTAAAAGGGAGAGAAAAGAAAAAAAAAAAAGGAATAGAATCCAACAATAAAAAGGAATGAATATCTATACACACGATTTGTTTGTATCTCAAGATTATAATGAATGAAAAGAGCCAATCTCTAAAGGTTACATGCTGTATGATCACACTTACATAATACTCTTGAAATGACAAAATTAAAGAGATAGAGATCCCTTAATGATTGCTTGGGGTTTGGTGGTGGTGAAGGATAGAAAGTGAGGTGATTGTGACTATAAAAGGGTAGGACAAGAGATTCTTGTGATGGAACTCATCTGTATCCTGACTGGTGATGGTCACATAAATCAACGCCAGTGATAATATTGCATAGAACCAAATACACACACGATTGTATGTAAAACCAGTAAGATCTGAGTAAGATTGGTGGGTTGTGTCCATATTGACTTCCTGTTTATGATATTGTACTATGGTTATGCATGAATTTATCATTGGGGGAAACTGGGTAAAGGATATATGTCATCTCTCTGTATTATTTCCTATAATTCTATGTGAACTTATAATTATCTTAAAATAAAAATTTAAAAACAATTATGCTGTGTGAACAAAGCCTAATCCAAAGGCTACATTTTGTACAATTCCATTTATTGAAGTCCTAGGAGAAGCAAAATTAATCCAAGATAGAAAAAAAATAAAACAATGGTTATTTTCTGGGCAAAGTTGTCTTGATAGAGATACTGGTGGCACTGGTGTATGCTACTATAAAGAAGACAACAGGCCCCACCCATATGGAGTCACTTGTGCTAAGCACCCCCATCACCAAACTGAGTTTGGCTTTCCCAGAAATGGACTTGCCTGTTCAGCACTCCTTAGGTAATCTGCTGGATAGACTTTTGTCATCCCCTAAAAGAAAGTAACCTGACAATAACCAACCCTTTTTTTTTTTTTTTTTTTTTTTTTTGCCTAGAATAACTTCCTTGTTCCCTCTCCCTCTGGCTATAAAAGTCTTTCATTTTGTATAGCAACTCAGAGCTCCTTTGTATCTGCTGGATTGGATGCTGCCCAATTCAAATAGATTTTCGCTCAAACACTTAAAATTTTCAATATGCCTCAGTTTCTCTCTTAACAATGTTCATATTGGAACTCAAGGAATGATACAGTTTAGATATTTACGTTTCTTTGTAGTTAATGATAGGCATGCCAAAGTATGCATACTACATGAAGTATACATATTCATATGACATAATGATATGCACACAAGTATTTTGGGGGAGGTGTACTAATGTCTGCAATTTTTTTTTGTTTTTTAGATTTTATTATTTTAGAGAGAAAGAGAGTACAAGATGGGGGAAGGGCAGAGTGAGATGCAGACTCCCCACTAAGTAGGGGGAGTAACCCTACCCAGGGTTCGAACCCAGGACCTCAGGATCATGACATGAGCCAAAGATGGACGCTTAACCAACCAAGCCACCCAGGTGCCCACTGTTTATGTTTTAATGTTTAAGTAGATTCCACACCCAGCATGGAGCCCAATGTGGGGCTTGAACTCACGATCCTGAGATCAACCTGAGCTGAGATCAATGGTCAGAGATTTAACCCACTGAGCCACCAGGAGCCCTTAATGTCTGCAACTTTGAAATGCACCAAAAAAGACAGGTTAAAAAAAAAAAAAGACAGGTTGATAGCTATACTCACTAAATTTTTTTCAACTTTTTTTCTGAAAAATTTCTTTTTTTTTTAAAGTTTTATTGAGTAATCTCTACACCCCACGACCCTGGGGTCAAGAGTCACATGCTCTTCTGACTGAACCAGCCAGGCACCCCTTGTCTGAAAAATTTCTTAATAAAATATTGAAAAAATTAACTAGTTGATTTTTTAATAGTTTTTTTTTTTTAATAATCTCTATACCCCATGTGGGGCTCAAACTCACAACCCCAAGATCAAGAGTTGCATGCTCCACCGACTGAGCCAGGCAGGCACCCCAACTAGTTGATGTTTTTAGTGCAAAATTTCCAACATTAAGTCACAAAAGCAGTTTGGATACACTTAATGTATATAATTCAGGCTACATTATAATAAACATTAGTCTCCTTACCAAATATGATTATATATAATTTTTAAATGTTGACAGTTCTACTTTTTTATACATGAACAGTTTGCATCACTTGTTAAGAGAAATGTGAATTTTGTGTTTTAAGAATGTTAATGGTTTAGGGGCACCTGGGTGGCTCAGTTGGTTAAGTTTCTGCCTTCGGCTCAAGTCACGATCCTGGAGTCGGGGATCAAGCCCCATGTCGGGTTCCCTGCTCAGCGGGGAGTCTGCTTCTCCCTCTCCCTCTACCCCACCTAGTGTTCTCTCTCCCACTTTCTCTCTCTCACAAATAAATAAAATCTTTAAAAAAAATGTTAAGGGTCTAATACAAACTATCTAGATTTTAAAATCCCTTTCTCTTATACTATACTCAAGAATGTTCATAAGATTGTATTGTGGGAACTGAGACATCTGTAGCCCTCAATCACCATAATGACTCTACTGTTTGTTTCAGGAAATTCTTGCCCACAGGTAGGCTGTCAATTAGTACATAGCTTAATTGTTAGCTTTAAATTTTCCTGAAAATTCATTTATTTGAAGAATAGGTTGCTCATCTGGGTAAAAAGCTTCTCTCTCAGGTACTGAGAAGTTGAACTGATGACTCAACTGGCAAATCACCTTCCTTACCAAAAAACGAAACTAATCGGTTATCAAGTCCCTCATTTTGCTCAGCCCACCAGTCCTTAACTATTATACCAGGCACTATGTCCATTCCCAGGGAGGTATCCACAAAAGAATTGAAAAGGCCACCTTAAACCTCTACAGCCTAAAATCCAAAACCCTATAAAAATCACCCTTGACCTTCTCTCTGAGACACTAAGATTTTTGTCAAAATAGTAATCTCCCTTAATGCAGTAAGTGAGAAATTTGGTTTTACTCAAACAGGTTATTTTGGTGGTCTTTTTTCGAGGAGTTAGCAGTAGACAATCACAGTGAAGAGACTTCACCATCGACAAAGTTTGGGAAACGTGTATGACCCCAAGCAAATCTGGAATACTCGCAAGCCTCCACTTTGTCTTGACAGGAATTCACTGGTGCCATCAACAGATGAAATTCGGAATATAGAAAGCCAGGGAATAAAAAAAAAAAACCTAAAGGAGGAAATGATACCAAAATGAAGATGGTAAGAGCTGTAGAACCTTCTTTCCTGTCTTCATGCAGACAACCAATGAGAATCTCTGAATGAGTCAATATATTTAATTATTTAATTGATATGCCATGTTATAATTTATATTACTTCATCTGGATTGATTTTGAGATTGTGCCCTCCTATTTTGCACTTTCACTTTCTGGGCAAAGTTCTTAGCCTATATAAAAAGCAGAGTGCCCTGTGGGCCTAGCTCCAACCTACCTATACACCTCCATTCAAACTTTAAATTGCAATCTTTTAAACTACTAAATATTTAATATTTAAACTATTTAAACCATTGTATATTTAAACTGGTACTTCCTCTGCATTCAGTTTCCTAAATTTGAAATCCCACTCTTCCTTTGGTGCTCACTGCCCCCCTCAATTCCTGACATTTACAACACAATTTGAAGGCTTTCTCCCAAGCCCTCAGGGTAGGGTTCGCCAGCACCCTGTGTGTATCCCTATCACAGCACTCAGGTGCTGGTTTACGGGGCTAGTACACTGAGTTTCTTGAGGCCAGATTTAGTAACTTACAGTATTTGAATCTCCCGTAGTTCTACAGTACCAGGCAAACTCGAGGTCTAAATAAATGTGTTGGAATCCATCGAAGGGTGAGGTGGGAGGATTGATGCATGGGTCAGAAAACGAAATTTCAAAGCATTAAACTGCGTAAATTGTGGGGACCACCATAGCTTAACTGCGTTGCAGGTGGGCAGAAGCGCCATAGAGGTGAGTCATGGGATGGCAATGAGGTCATAGAACTGTGAGGCCAAGGTAAGTCATTAACAGTTAACAAATGCTGGCAAAACTGAGGCGCAGAGCAAGGAGTAGCAGGACTCCAGGGTCTCCAGGACCTGGAATTTGGTCCAGGCCCCACTTTTCAAGCATCAACCCGCCCGCCGTAACAAGAGGCTGCAGAAGGGGCCAAGAACCGTTAGGGAGATAAGGAAGGTGTTTCAGAATAGTGCTTAGCGGCTCCGACCCAAAAGCCCACAGTCACCCGCTATGGACACAGGGCTGATCACGAGGCACGAGGCTGCCTCCTGACAGCGTCAACTGCCCCTACACTTTCTCGTCCAGCACATTTTACTCTCGAGAGTTCTTTTCCACAGCTCCCAGAGTCCAACGGCCGAAGAGACGAGCGCTGCAGGCCTTGCCTCCGGGGGAGCTGCCGCTAGCGCCCAAGCTTTGCTTTCACAGGATTTGGCTAGGCGGGCTGCCGGACAGGCCATCTCTCCTGGACATCATGTGACGTGGGGAGTGACCTGCATTTCTTCTGATATAAGGCTACAGATTATGAGTTCAAAAACAGGGGCTATATCGGGCGCCTGGGTGGCTCAGATGGTTAAGCATCTGCCTTCGGCTCAGGTCATGATCCCAGGGTGCTGGGATCGAGTCCCGCAGCAGGCTCCCTGCTCGAAAAGGGGTCTGCTTCTTCCTCTCCTTCTGCTGTGCTCTTTCGCTCTCTCTGTCAAATAAATAAATAAAATCTTTAAAAAAAAAAAAAACAGGGGCTATATCAGTCGAACCAACGACCCGGCTTCTGGGCCTCGCTGTCCCCGAAAATCCCACCCTTAGAAAGGGCTCCACACCACGCCGCGAAGGAAGGCGCAACCGGAAGGGGCGGGGGTCCACCCGGACGCGGAGCCTCCAAAACCATGGCTTCCCGTGGGATCGTCGGCCTTTTCCTCCTCTCTGCTCTCCCCCTCTTGTGTCTGGAGCTCCGGCGTGGGATCCCCGACCTAGGTAAGTGTTGGCTTTTTCCTTCTGGCACTCACATCCGCGTAACTTTCCCATGAACGTTGCGTCGAATTCCTGTCTTGCGGCCGCCTCCCCTCTGGGCGGCTTGGACTACAATTCCCAGTCTGTATCGCGCCCGCCTTTCTCTTCCGGCGCCGGGTCCCCCGGGAGCGAGACTCCCGCTGCTTTGGGGAGGCCGACCGCTTTTGGCGGAGAAGGTGACCCTCCGGTTTTGCGGGCAAGGCGAGAGGCTGACGGAGAGCACAGGAATAAACATAGACACTACTCCCAGATTGTTTGAACGCTCACAAGGAAATAGGGTGGTGTGATGTAGGCCTTCCGAGGAATTTAAGGAAATGAAACGGAGCCAGAGTCAAAAACATTTCCAGACAAAAGGAATTGTGACATGTTGGAGGAAAAGGATGAAGACCACTGTTGATGGATCAGGGAGACTTAGGGGCAGAGTGGCTCGAGATAACGTTCACGGAGCACCAGTTATAAGCCTAACTCTAAGTGCTGTTATCTCATGCACTCTGTATTATAACTTTGGGGGTGGGTACTATTATAATCCCCATCTTACACTTGAGGAAACTGACGCGGAGGTTAAGCGGGTCCCTGAGGTTTTAGGAGTCACTGGAGGAGCGCCAGGCTAGCTCAGTCAGTGGAGCATGCAACTCCTGATCTCAGGTCGGAGGGATTCCTAGATAGATAGATAGCCAGTCCCTGGATTCTGTGGAGAATGTTTTGGAAGGAGGCTGTAGTGGAAGCAGTGAAGCAAGTGAGGCTCTTGAAGTAGGCAAGTAGTGATGATGGCCTGGACTGGGATGATAACATGAAATGTGCACAGATTTGGAATATTTACAAAGTAGAATCAACAGGATTTGTGGATGGATTAATGGAAAGGAGGGATTCAAGAATCACTCCTACATGTGAAGTTGAACAACCCTGAGTAGTTGATAGGCCAGTGATGAAGGGAAAACTGAGAGGAAAATGGTGGACTTGCGGAGAATCAGTCCATTTTGGGATATGTTAGTCATGGGTTTACATGCATGTCTCCCTCATGTTCACTTTTAAAGTTAGCGACCATGATGAAACCTAGCTTTGTATATTTCCTCTCTCTCTCCCCACCCCCAAGAAGTCAGGTACCTAGAAATGTTGCTGGAAATAAGAACTTAAAATAAAATGCTTTCTAAAAAAAATCTGCAAAGTCCCTCTAGAAACCTCCTACTCACTCAGGCTGTATTGGAATCTAACAAGACCTTTATCCAGATGACATAAGGAAATGTTAAATTCACACTTACCTATTCCAGAATTTACCTGTTCCCTTGCCTTTACAGTATCCACTGTAATTTAGATTCTCTTCTACTTTGCACTAATGTTTGAGTCACTAGTCAATGAGAAAGTGGTTGCAGAGGGTTGGGGGGAATTCTGCTCACATAATAAGCTCTGTCAGGAAAATAACAGTTCTTGAAGGCAGAGCCTACATCTATTTTGTTTTTGTGTTCCCATCACTTATCACAATGTCTAATTTATTTAATCATTTATTTTAATTGTTTTTTTAAGTAGGCTCCACGCCTGGTGTGGGGCTTGAACTCATGACCCTGAGATCAAGAGTCAAATGCTCTACTGACTAAGCCAGCCAGGTGCCCCCAGAGTGCCTCATTTAATAAAGCAGGGCAAAAATTCTAGAAAATGCAGCTGGGCTTCTGGTAGCATCTCCGTCTAGTTGTTGAGTTTTTTCACTTAGTTAACTCCTTTCTCCTAGAAACCTCTGTCAGTTGTGAACTGATGGTTGTTTACTTTGGTTTCTTTTTCTTTTTCTTTAAGTAATCTCTACACCCAGTGTCGTGCTCAAACTACCAGTCTCATGCTCCACCCACTGAGCCAGCCAGGCGCTCCTACTTTGTTTTCTTGATATTCATTCTCCAGATATCCAGTAAGAGTAGTTAAGTCTATTTTACAAATCATATGTCCCAGTGCAATGGCTGCAGGGCTAGTTACATGTGGAACAGTACTTACAGATACTAATACTCTTAGCCAGAGCTGCTAATTGAATTCCTAGTTGGGAAATTAGAAATCCCAGACCTTTTCATTCCCCTGGGTTGTATTTTTGGACAAACACTGAAAAATAATTCCTATCTTTTTCTACTGTGTAAAAGCCTTCATTGCCATTTTTACTTCTACTTACAGCCAAATATATTAATGCAGCTTCCTCACATTTATTATTCTTTGAAATGCCTTGCACATGGGCTCTTAAGTATCAAAAAAATTAATTTAATAAAAAAATTTTTTACTTGAAAGATGTACACACAAATCTAGTTCTTTTATATTCCCATATGACATTTGCAAATTGCTTGCTTGTTAGAACAAAAAGCAATATAATGGAACATAAATCCCATAACTCACTGGTTTCTCTAAATACCAATACCGTAGGTATTAAATTACTTTTGTAATACCCTAGATTTAGTTAGGTGTTGTTTTGAACAACACTTGAATCAACAGCTAATGCTGGCAAAAGTTGGAGGACTTTTGGAAGTTGGAAGACAAGTATTTCTTTCTTTCTTTCTTTTTTTTTTTTTTAAAAGATTTTATTTATTTGAGAGAGAGCGGAGAGCACACCAACAGGGGAAGGGGCAGAGGGAGAGGGAGAAGCAGACTGTCCACTGAGGAAGGAGCCTGATGCAAGACTTAGTCCCAGGACCCTGGGATCATGACCTGAGCCAAAGGCAGATGCTTAACTGACTGAGCTACCCAGGTGCCCCCAAACAAGTATTTCTTTAAACAACTTTAAATTGCTGTTTTTTAAAAGGATAACATATATATCGGTTTTCAGTTAAAAATGAAATATTTATGGGGCATTTGGCTGGCTCAGTCAGAAGAACGTGTCGCTCTTGATCTTGGGGTTATGAGTTTGAGGCCCACACTGAGTATAGAGATTATTTAAATAAAATTTTTTAAAAAATAAATAATTAAAATAAATACAATATCACAAGTATAGTCAATTATACTTCAAGAAAGAAAGTTTATATATATATATATATATATATATATTCTTTCTTTAATCTTTAATTGACTAATTACCAGCCCTGAATGTGATGATTCCTCTATACCTCTGCCTGGTAACTTTTGAGAACTACAAAACTAAAAACTCCTATGGGGTAGAAAGCATTTTTAACCCAACTTTGTATTTGCTTCCTCACCATTTAGCAAATTGTATTACACAAAGTATAGGTACTTGTTACATTTTTGCTCATTTAATTTTCATCTTTATTCCTAAAATAAGACGAAATACTGAGTTTTTACTTTTTTCTAGGTTAAACATGTATGTATATAGTAATTTTATTTGCAAATGACGGAATAAATATTCAAAAATAGAGAAGTACACAGTTCCTTAATTTAACTATGAGAGATATGAATTTCATGTGTCAGAATGACTGTTTTTAAATAGAATGAGAATTTGACAAGATGAGACTGTCACAATTTAATTCCCAGTGGGATAATTTTATTTCCTTCTCTGGGTAGAGGGAAACCAGAATTTATTCATTTTTGATAGTCATAATGTTTATAATATAGCCAGTCACTTGAATTATACCTATATTTCTGAGACAGAAGCTATTCTAAAATTGTTTTCTGAAAACTTGTTCTGGTAATGACAACCATGATGGTTTTAGCTCACAGAGGAGATTGTATGAAAAAAATCATAATCCAGTTGCATAAATTAACTTTTACTGTACCACTAAATAATCTTAATGCCTTACTATTTATTATTAGTATCAAGAAAAGTGTTTTGAATTTTAAATGTAATTTTTTTTTTTTTTAACCTTTATAAGGAGTTAAAGATCTAATTCTGCTGTGTGGTCGGATTTTCTTACTGCTTGCTCTTCTTACTTTAATTATTTCTGTGACTACCTCATGGCTTAATTCATTTAAATCGTCCCAAGTGTATCTGAAAGGTAAGTTTATTATTTATCCTACCCTTTTATAATTTCTACTCAAATTCCTTTCCTTTATTGATTCTAGAACTTTTCATAATAAGAACCATTTCCTGTTATTGGTGATGTACAATTACAACTTTTAACTTGATTTTTAATGGACTATAAATCTCCCAATTTTTTTTAAAGATTGATTTATTTATTTTTAGCGAGAGAGAGAAAGAGAGCACTGCCCGTGTGCATATGCGCGCACATGAGTGGGAGGGGCAGAGGGAAAAAGAGAATCTCAAGCGGACTCCTCCCTGAGCGTGGAGCTCTGCTGGGCTGGATCCCACCACCCCGAGATCACTACCTGAACTGAAACCGAGTCTGACACTCAACCCACCACACCACCCAGGTGCCCCTAAACCCGACATTTTTATGTGAAATTGTACATTATCCTTATATATGCATTTGAAATGATACCATTTCTATGTTGATACATTGCAAATTATCTAATTTTAAATTGTGCAGTTTATTTTTTAATTATTTTATTTTTATTTATTTTTTTAAAGATTTTATTTATTTGTGAGAGAGCGAGAGAGAGAGCACAAGCAAGGGGAGTGGCAGGCAGAGGGAGAAGCAGGCTCCCCACTGAGCAAGGAGCCCGATGCCGGACTCGATCCCAGGACCCAGAGCCGAAGACAGATGCTCAGCCAACTGAGCCACCAAGGCGTCCCACAGTTTATTTGTTTAAAGTTTTTCTTTATGTATTTGAGAGAGAGAGAGAGAGAGAGCACAAGTCGGCGGGGAGGGGCAGAAGGAGAGGGAGAACCAGACAGGGAGTCCAGACTCGAGGCTTAATTCCAGGACCCTGGCTGGGGTCATGACCTGAGCCAAAGGCAGATGTTTAACTGACTGCGCCAGCCAGGCGCCCCTAAATCGTGCAGATTAATTGTTCTTTGGTGTTTTCAGTTTATAAACTATTCAACAAATGGTAATCATCTCTACCATTACTTTGTAAAGGCTTTTCAACCTAATTTATCTTTCATTTTATTTTGGCAGTTTTTCTTTACACACTGCTTACTCTTAACTTTAGGAAACCATGATTGTTCTTACTTTTGATAAGTAAAAAGTTTTACTTTTAATTGTTAAAAGCCCTTAACAGTGTAAAAAGTGTTGGGGCGCCTGGGTGGCTCAGTCATTAACCGTCTGCCTTCGGCTCAGGTCCTGGGATCAAGCCCCGCATTGGCCTCCCTGCTCCGTGGGAAGCCTGTTTCTCCCTCTCCCACTCCCCCTGCTTATGTTCCCTCTCTCACTGTGTCTCTCTCTGTCAAATAAATAAATAAATATTAAAACAAAACAAAAAAACAATGTAAAAAGTGTTAGAAGCCGGGCACCCGGGTGGCTCAGTTAAGTGTCTGTCTTCAGCTCAGGTCATGATCTTGGGGTCCTGGGATCGAGTCCCACATCGGGCTCCCTGCTCCCTGGAAAGCCTGCTTCTCCCTCTCCCCGCTGCTTGTGCTCTCTCTCTTGCTATCTCTCTCTCTCTCTCTCTCAAATAAATAAATAAAATCTTATATATAAAGTGCTTGTCAGATTTTCTTCAAATGAGTAAAAAATCAGCTTGTTTATACACTTTGTCTTCCCTAGTGTCATCAAATACTGAGATTCAAGACTTCAGATTCATCTGCAATTTGAATCCTCCATGTTTTTAAAGATTTGCATGATCAAATGTATCAAAAGCTCAGAAGTAGTCAGTTCTCAGTGACTTTAAGGTTTAAAGTCCCCTTGGGCTCCTGGCCGCTCAGTCAGTAGAGCATGTGAATCTTGATCTTAAGGTCATGAGTTCAAGCCCCACGTTGGGTGTGGAGCCTACTTAAAAAAAAAAGGATTAAAGCCCCTTAATCACCTGTTATTGATTTATTTAGAAGCTATACTCTTTGATTCAGAGTCAGGAGGGAGTCTTAAGATCACCAAGTCTGACTCATCACATAGCAAATTAGTGGCCATACTGGGCCTTCTGATTTCCTGTGTGTTTTGCTGCTGCCCTAATCTTTCCTTAATATAATTTGAGGAAATATTTTTTGCCAGGAGAGAAAGTAGTTGACAGAAAGGAATGTTCCTATTTAAGGAGCCAGGCAGGTTAAGGGATATATTTTCCAAAAAGATGGATAATTCCTCAAGGAAATACGGTTAAATGAAATTAATTTAAATGAAACTTAGTGGGAGCGCCTCGGTGGCTCAGTCGGTTAAGCGGTTAAGCGTTGACTCTTGATATCAGCTCAGGTCTTGATCTCAGGGTTGTGAATTCAAGCCTGTGTTGAGCTCCACACTGGGTGTGGTGGAGCCTACTTAAAATAACTAACTAATTTAACATATCCAGAATGAAAAAGGTCATACAACAGCAAAAATCCTTTCTCTTGCCATTCATTGGCTAATAACCTAATATTGGTTCAATCATGGGAGTTGCCAAACATACCCCAGCTCTGGGGTCTAGGCGTGGTTGCATTTATTTTTTTTTTAATGATTTTATGGGGCACCTGGGTGGCTCAGTCAGTTAAGCATCTGCCTTTGGCTCAGGTCATGATCCCAGGGTCCTGGGATCGAACCCCATGTTGGGCTCCCTGCTCAGTGGGAAGTCTGCTTCTCCCTCTCTGCATACTTGTGCTCTCTCTGTCAAGTAAATAAATAAAATCTTAAAAAAAAATAAAATAAATGATTTTATGATTTTATGTTTTTATTTTTAAGCAATCTCTACATCCAACATGGGGCTCGAACTCACAATCTGGAGATCAAGAGTCACATGCTCCACTCACTGAGACAGCCAGGTGCGCTCAGGCATGTTGCTTTTATTTATGGTCATGTCCAAGGGTGACCAAATGGTACTCATGTCTGCAGTGCAGCGTTCCACACTCAAGTGCAATAATGAGCTTCCATGCCATGTCTTGGAGCTGCTGAAGCCCTACCAAGGGCCTACACTTAAAGCACTTAAAATCCAACTTTTTTAAAATTTAATTTAATTTTATTTTTTTAACTTTTTTTTTTTGAAGATTTTATCTATTCATTCAAGACACAGAGATAATAGAGAGAGAGAGAGAGTACAAGCAGGGGGAGAGGCAGAGGAGAAGCAGGCTCCCCTCTGAGCCAGGAGCCGAACGTGGGGCTTGATCCCAGGACCCTGGGATCATGACCCGAGCCGAAGGCAGATGCCCAACCATCTGAGCCACCCAGGCGCCCCTAATCCAACTTTTTTTTTTTTTAAGTAAGGTGTGGAACCCAGTGCAGGGCTTGAACTCATAGCCCTGAGATCAAGACCTGAGCCAAGATCAGGAGTTAGATGCTTAACCAACTGAGCCACCCAGGCACTCCCCAACATAATTATTCTTGATTTCTCTTTTTAAATTCAGGATTTCATTTATTTATTTGACAGAGTGAGAGAGCATGAGGTGGGGAGGGGCAGAGAGAGAGGGGGAGAAGCAGACTCACTGCTGAGTGGGGAGCCCGATGTGGGACTCAATCCCAGGACCCTGAGATCATGACCTGAGCCAAAAGCAGACGCTTAACTGACTGAGCCACCCAGCTGCCCCCCATAATCATTCTTGAAGCCTCCTCTCCAAAACTATAACATACAATATTAGTACATGTCAGAGAACTTTTGTTTCAGAACAGACCTTTTCTTTATAGATTTTACTTGTAGATTTCTTTGTTTGAACTGTCTGCATATATCTCATTTTCATTATTTCAAAAATTATAGTCTGTTTTTTGAAGGCTTGTCTCTCCCAAAATGTTTTATCTGCAGACTATTTTCAGAGAAAAGAGCATTCAGTTTATCATAGTTGGGAATTAAAAAGCACTTTTATGTTTTGCTGTCTTAGAAGAAGAAGAGAACAATGAGAAAAGGCAAAAACTTGTCAGAAAAAAACAACAAGAGGCACAGAGTGAAAAGGTAAAGTATAATTTTTAGAGAGTATATATAGAGAGAGTACAGAATATTTGGAGCATTTAAAATTGAGGTCTATTGCTTTCTGTGTTTGTCCTCAGACTTTTTAATTATTGAGGTCAAGTTCTTTTGGTATATACATAGGAGTGGAATTGCTGGGTCATATAGTAATTCTGTGTTTAACTTTTTGAGGAACCACCAGACTATTTTCTACACCAGCTATACCATTTTATATTCTCACCAGCAATATCTGAGCAGCCCAGTTTCTCCATATCCTCACTGATATTTATTATTCCCATCCCCATCCTTTTAAATACCCATTGTAATGAGTATGAAATGGTATCACATTGTGGTTTGATCTGCATTTCCCTGATGACTAATGATGTTGAGCATCTTTTCATGTGCTTGTTGGAGAAATGTCTACCCTTACATCTTCTCTGCAGAAGTGTCTGTTCAAGTTCTTTGCCCATTTTTGGATTGGGTTGTTTCTTTTTGTTTTTTTATAGGAGTTTTTATGTATTCTGAAAACTAGACTCTTATCAGATACATAATCTCCAAGTATTTTCTCCCATTGTGCAGGTTGCCTTTTCACTCTTTTGATAGTGTCCTTTGATGCACAAAAGTTTTGGTGAAATCCAGTTATTTACTTCTTTCGTTGCTCCTGCTTTCGATGTCCTATTTAAGAATCCATTGTCAGATAGAAAGTCATGAAGATTTACTACTATATATTTTCTTCCAAGAGTTGTAGAGTTTTAGCTTTTATATTTAGGTTGTTAACCCACTTTGAGTTAAGTTTTGTATATGGTGTGAGGTGGAGGTTCAGTTTCTTTTTTTTCAATATTGTTTTGGCTATTTGGGGCTTTTTGCAATTTCATATGAATTTGAGTTGGCTCTTCCATTTCTGCAAAAAAAGCCTTTGGGATTTTGGGAAGGATTACATTGAAATCCATAGATTGCTTTGGGTAGTATTGACAGTTTATAATATTAAGTCTTCCTTGCTTTGCCTAGTATTGACATCTTAATGATACTGTCTTTCAATCCATAAACCTATAATGTCTTTCCATTTATTTATATCTTTAATTTCTTCCAGCAATATTTTATAGTTTTCAGTGCATATAGTTTTCACCCCTTTGGCTAAGTTTATTTCTGCATATTTTATTTTGGATGCTGTTTCAAATGTAATTGTTGTTTTCTTAATTTCCTTTTTTGATTTTTCATTGCTCAGTGTACAGAAATAAAAATGCCTTTTGTGTGTTGATTTTGTACCCTGTCCTTTGTTCATTGTTTATTAGCCCTAGTGGTTGCTGTGTGTGGATTCTTCGGATTTCCTATATACAGGCAAATCTTGTTTTAAACAAGATTTAATTGTGCTTCGTGGATACTTTTTTTTTTTTTTTTTACAAATTGAAGGTTTATGGCAACTCTACATTGAGCAAGTCTCTTGGTTCCATTTTTCCAACAGCATTTGCTAAGTTTGTGTCTCTGTCACATTTCAGTAATTCTTGCAATATTTCAAACTTTTTCATTATTATTATGTTTGTTGTGATGATCTGTGATCCGTGATTACAACTCACTGAAAGCTCAGATAATGGTTAGCATTTTTTAACAATAAGGTATTTTTTTTAAAGATTTTATTTATTTGAGAGAGAGAGCACAAGCAGGGGAAAGGGACAGAGGGAGAAGCAGACTCCCCACTGAGCAGGGAGCCCAGTGCAATGGGGGGCTGGATCCCAGGACCCTAGGATCATGACCTGAGCCCAAGGCAGACACTTAACCGACTGAGCCACCCAGACATCCCAACAATAAAGTATTTTTAGATTAAGGTATGTACTTTTTTGTAGATGTAATGCTATTGCACATTTGGTAGAGTACAGTATAGTATAAATATAACTTTTAAATGCAGTGGGAAACCAGAAAATTAATTTGACTTGCTTTATTATTTACTTTATTGCAAACTGAACCTGCAATATCTCTGATGTATGCCTACATAAGATCATGTCATCTGAGAATAGGGATAGTTTTACTTCTTTCTTTCCAAAATTGGTACTGTTTATTTCTTTTTTTCTTGCCTGTTGCTCTAGCTAAAATTTCTAAACAGTGTTGAGTAGCGGTGGTGAAAGCAGGCATCCTTGTCTTGTTCCTGGTTTTAGAAAGCTTTTAGTCTTCCACCATTGAATGTAATGTTAGCTACGGATTTTTTTCTAGACACTCGTCATGTTGAGCAAGTTCCTTCCTATTCCTAGTTTCTGAGTATTTTTATCATAAAGAGTGTTGAATTTTATCAAATGTTTTTTCTTTATCAATTGAGACGATCATGTGGTTTTATGTTTGTTTTATTAATATGTATTTGTTTTATTAATATGTATTATATTGATTGATTTTCTTTTGTTGAAACATCTTGCATTCTTGGGGTAAGTCACACTTAGCTGGCATATAATCCTTTTAAAATGCTGTTGGATTCAGTTTGCTAAAATTTGTTGAGGATATTTGCATTTGTATTTATAAGGGATTTATATTTTCTTGTAGTGTCTTTGCCTGTCTTTGGTGTCAGGATAATGATGACTTCGCAGAATTAATTAGGAATTGTTCTCGCCTCTTTTATTTTTTTGGAATTTCAACAGGATCAGTGTTAACCCTTTAAAGGTTTGATAGAATTCACCTGTGAACCCATCTGGTCCTACTCTTCTTTATTGGGAGGTTTTTAATTACTGACGCAATATGTTGTTAGGTCTGTTGAGATTTCCTGTTTCTTCTTGAATCAGTTTAGGCAATTTCTAGGAATTTGTCTACTTCATCTTGGTTTTCTGATTTGATGGTCTACAATCGTTCTAAAATTCTTTTTCTAATCCTTTTTATTTCTGTAAGGCTGGTAGTAATATCCTCACATTTCTGATTTTAGTTATTTGTCTTCTCTTTTTCTTCATCAAGTTAAAGGTTTGTCAGTTTTGTTGATCTTTTCAAAGAACCGATTTTGGTTCTGATTGTTTTCCTGTTCTATTTTCTGTTTAGTTTGTGTTTTTTATAGTTTTTTAAGTTGTAAAGTTAACTTACTGATTTAAGATCATTCTTCTTTAATTAGATGTTTACAGCTATAACTTTCCCTCTGAGCATTGCTTTTGCTGTATCTGATTCAAGATTTTGTTTGATAGCTAGGAATTACATTTCCTGTGGATGATTTTCCAACACTTACTTCTTAACGTTGAACTGTCAGCACTCAGGCAGTTGCCAGATTGATGATTAACCTTTGTGAAAGAGGAGACTCCTGTGGACTTTCGCTTAAATATTAAAAACATAAACCTTTTACAAAGGCCTTGGTACAAGGGCATTAATATTTTGAAAGCTATCAACTTGTTTTCAACTTGTTATCAACATGTTTCAACATCTAAACTTGTTCTTCTGGTGAACAAATTATTCCTTTTTAAGTAAACAAGCAAAGGCTGAAAACAAATCACAAGAGTAAAAGCCTATGTATTTGTTGGGAGATGGGAGATTACTACATTTGTAACTACCCTGACCTGAATTTATTTATTTATTTGTTTGTTTGTTTATTTTTAAAAGATTTTTATTTTATTTATTTGACACAGAGAACCTGAGGGAGGGAACACAAGCAGGGGGGAGTGGGAGAGGGAGAAGCAGGCCTTCCGCCAAGCAGGGAGCCCAATGCGGGGCTCGATCCCAGGACCCCAAGATCATGACCCGAGCTGAAGGCAGATGCCCAATGACTGAGCCACCTGGCGCCCCCCTGATCTGAATTTAGAACAATAAAAGTGTTCTTGCAAGATCTTTTGTAAGAAACTCTCTTGTAAATATTTGAACTTCTGAAGCTTAAAGTTAATTCTTGTGGAAGTAACTTAATTGTAAAGCCTTGCCTGATAATTAGTAAATTATAATTACATCTAGATGCCAACTCTCTGCTAACTGGCATCTGTAATTCCTAAGGGTGTGTAAAGTTAGGATTCTTTTGTTTGGCAAAAGTCTTTAACCCATTAAACTTCTCTCTTTGCACAAAAGAAAATTAATCAGTGTCTCAATATAGTCTATGTATGTGCATGGTGACGTGCCCAACTTGTGCAGATATGTACCTGCTGGTAAATAAAATTTTTGAGGTTTGGCATTGTAAAAAGGTGATTTTTCTCTTCTGACGATTGATAGTTTGATTTGGCATAGAATTGCAGATTGAAAATCCCTAGAATTTTGAAATATTGCACCATTAACCTCAAAATTCCAGTGGGGCTTTCCAAATTCCTTTTTCTCTATTAATTATAGTCTCCATTTTTCATGTTGGAGACTTTAATCATGTGGTAATCCTTGGCTCTGTCCTTTCAGCTTTAAGAGAGATGCACTAAGGGGCACCTCGATGGCTCACTTGGTTAAGCAACTGCCTTCAGCTCAAGCAGCATCCCAGAGTCCTGGGATCGAGCCCTGAGTCGGGCTCCCTGCACAGCAGGGCAGTCTGCTTCTCCCCTTTCCTCTCCCTTTGCTCATGCTCTCTCTCTCGCTCACTCTCTTTCAAATAAATAAATGAAATCTTTAAAAAGAAAAAGAGAGAGAGGGCACCTCAGATGGTTAAACATCTGCCTTTGGCTCAGGTCATGATTCCAGGGTCCTGGGATCAAGTCCCACATCGGGCTCCCTGCTCTTTGGGAGCCTACTTCTCCCTCTGCTGCTCTCTCTCCCTCTCTCTGTCTCTCATGAATGAATAAATAAAGTCTTAAAAAAAAAAAAGAAAAAGAGAGAGATACACTAAAAAGTTAATTGATGGAATATGCATTTGTAAAATTGCATCAAGCTTTGGGTTCTTTACTGGTCATAAGTTCTACTTAAACAAAACAGAAAAGGCAAATAAAGCTACTTGGAATTTCTCTGTATGTGGTCAGGGTTTGACGGGTTGTCTGCTGGTGTAGGGTGATGTGATGGAGGAGTAGTTTAGCTTTGTCACTGTCTCTTTGTTCTTTTGTTCTTTTGCAATTCACCGTCTCCAGAGAGGGCACCTCCATTCTCTCCCCTTGGGGGTTAAAGCCAGGCTGCCGGCAGTCTGGGGAAGTCAAGTGAGGAACGTGGCTGGGGAGTCTCACTTGTCAGTGTGTACATCTTCACGTACTAGGTTGTTTGAGTTTGCACTTCTGCTGTCACTAAGACTGGGATCTGGGACTCTGTAGCCTCTCTGGTTCACACTATCTGGTTGAGGCTCAGCGTCCCCCGCCACTCCCCATTTTCAGCGCTGCACCTTACGCCGTGTTCCTGCCGTGGTATATGTGTGTCGTCTTCCTCGGCCCACCTGGGTCTCTGGAGCGCCCTGGCTTGCTTCGTACTGCTGTCCTCCTCTGCACGCACTTTGGCTGCAGGTTTCTCACTTTGTTGAATCAGTTGCCACCTTTTCCGTAGGTCCTTATATACAGTGCGTTTGGTGCTTATAGTATTTCTCTGTTTCACCAGCGATGGAATTTAGCTTTCTCTTTCTTGTTCCCTTGGTCATTTAGAGGTGAGTTTCAGGAGGAGAGGGAGGCAGAAATTTCACTCTGTCATCTTAAAACCAGAATCTCCATTTCTTTTAAGTCCCAAAATATGTTCAGCTTTACTATGATTAAGCTATTCAGTGAACTCTCTTCCAAGTGACTTCATGTGTTGGGCATCAAGCCTTCAACAAACAGCTCTGACTTGAAGCTCCTAGAAGTCAAGGATCACATCCTAGGCATCTTGACATCCCTAGCTCCTAGTAAGTTTTCATTGCACTGAAAACACAGTAAAGGGGCTCCTGCCTGGCTCAGTCAGTGGAGCGCGCAACTCTTGATCTCACAGTCATGAGTTTGAGCCCTACATTGGTGTAGAGATTACTTAAATAAAAGCTTATTTAAAAAAAAAGAAAAAGAGATGAAAACACACTAAAAGTGATAGAGGCAGACTGCCAGATAAGCATAAATACAGAACATTTGTTTTTTTCGGCATTATGTATAAATGCAGATTTTTAGAGAGTGCTATTAGAGTGGAGGATGCTGCTTTTTTGGAAAATTGAGTGAGTGTGAAAACACAATTTCTTCACCTGGTTCCTATTTAACAACTTTATAGACAACGTAAAATCTTAGGAATGTTATAGTAACAACACCTCATTTATTTTTTTGAACAGGCCAGCAGATACATAGAGAACGTTCTAAAACCTCACCAGGAAATGAAGTTGAGAAAACTCGAAGAACGCTTTTATCAGATGACGGGTGAAACCTGGAAGTTGAGCAATGGTCATAAACTTGGGGTTAGAAAATATTCTCACGTTATCTTTTGAATTCTGCTATTACATATATGCAGCAGATGTATATTACACTCATTGTATAAGGACGTATAATGTATAAGTATATCACATATATTGATTTTTTAAAATTTTCAAATGATGTTAAGCCATTAGTACGGTCAGTTTTTTAGGAGTCTTTACTGATCATGATTGTACATAGAGCGTATATGTGTGTTGAAGGGCTGAATGCTTTTGGTGCCTAAAGAGCATATTACTTAGATGCTTGAGAAGCTCTAACATACGGTAGGCTTTGAGAAAACTGTTGACTAATCACCATATTTTATATGAGGAAATTCAGATCTTTTCTTAAGTAAGATCTCCCCGGTACTGTAAGCTCACATTATACTCATTATGTTTGGCTCTGTTTCTGTAAAGCCAAATTAACCTTTGGCTCTTTTTTCCTTTGGCATTGAATCTGAACTTCATCATTTGCTACTGGAAGTTCACAATTCCAAGTTCTGTTACAGAGGAAAAAGGATATTCATAAAGGAATTAAGTTTAGAGTAATTGGCCACAGATTTTATGTATAAGATAATTTCTGTCCCAAACATTTTTGGGGTTTTTTTTTTGCTTTCTGTTTATATTGCACCTTTTACCATCTTGTAAAGAAAATAATCCCGTAAAGGTTAATAGGATTCTTATAGTGAAGCAGAATCAGTTTTTATTCATTTCATAATGGTAAATATGAAATCAAGGCAATCAAGGTTGGGTAATGAAATTACTGCGAAGGATGTGCAACGTGAAATGCACCTGCTCTGGGGAGTCCTTTCACTTCTGAGATGAGTTTGTCTTCTGTTCGGTTTGGTGATGTTGGACATTGACAGCCTGGTTTTAGCCGGCCACATCTTTTTGTGAAATGGTCACAATGTGAATTAGTCGTTCTGCCCCTTGCTTTTAGGCTGTGTCTTCATGGCACTACTAGTTTATATTTTAAACTAGTTGGTGGGGACAAGAAGAAGTCAGGGACAGAGCGGACTGTTGGCAATGTTATGACTTAAGGCCCATAGGACTATCAAGAATGTGAAAACCGGGATGTTAATTGCTGAGAGAAAGTGTAGGCATCAGCTGATGGAGCCCAGTACTTTGCAGTCAGACAGCCTATTTGGCCAGTTAATTGGTGAGCATGAAGGTCTCCTGACTCCCATTGCCCTTGCTCCTTCCAAGTTTTCTTAGGACAGAGGAAGGGGGAAGACAGCCTATGAAAATGCTGGCCATTTGAGTCTGATGAAGAGAACATTTACAAGTCAGTAGATGTGGAAAAAAGGCATTATTGAACTAAATAAGCATGTATCTGAGAATCTGACAATTATTTTGCACAGGAAAAGGTTTTAATGGGTAATATTAATAAAACGTAATCTTTATTATTTCTGGAGTAAAATCCTTTGCCTTCTAAAGTGACTAACTCAAAAAAGGATGAGAGTTTGAATTTGAGAACTTAAACATGTTTATATATAAAAGGATACTGTAGGGCCGCATTCAGCTATGAAAGTATCGCATGGTTACATATACAGACATGTTTGTACATACATCTTCTATTTCCATGGCCTTTTGAGGCATAATTCCTTGCACTGTCTTGCTTCCTTTATTTTTTTTTTAAAGATTTTATTTATTTATTTGACAGAGAGAGACACAGCGAGAGAGGGAACCCAAGCTGTGGGAGCGGGAGAGGGAGAAGCAGGCTTCCTGCTGAGCGGGGAGCCCGATGCAGGGCTCGATCCCAGGACCCTGGGATCATGACCTGCGCCGAAGGCAGATGCTAAATGACTGAGCCACCCAGGCGCCCCTGTCTTGCTTCCTTTAAAGAAAGGAGAAAAGGATATCATTCAGGTTTTCTTTCCTCCATCCTAACTGATCCTATCAGTTAGAATGGAACGATCCGTCTCAGCCTTGTATCTGTCAGAGGGAGCCCTGGAGCTGGATAAGGGTAGTTTCTACAAGATGTTAGCTCCGTGTTTTCTTGTCTAAGGAGATAATACTTTACGTTTCTGGGCCTAATAATGACTAAATTCTTTTTTTTTTTTTTTTAGTAGGCTCCACGCCCAACGTGGGGCTTGAAATCACGACCCTGAGATTGAGTCACATGTTCTACTGACTGAGCCAGCCAGGCAGCCTGACTAAGTTCTATTTTTTACTGAAATGCCATCAGGGTAAAAGAAATAACCACTGTGATAGAATAAAGTTGGTAATAGCATTTAGAAATTGTCTGTTGTTTTTGACCAGGGTGACGAAGATTTGGTGCTTGAAAATGAGAGTCAGACATCTTTTAAAACATCAAACAGAGAAGCAGCAAAGAGATGAAACTTGCCTAAGCCTTTAAGCAAAATTTCACCATCTGCTGAGCAGCCCACGCAGAAGGAGTTTCATTTCTAAATGCCTACTCATGTAATTGTATCAGTTTGTGGTAGGAATCTTGCTCTCTGGGCCAGGTGGTATACTGAGTGAAGATTAGGACTGGCTTTTAATCCAGATGGTATCTTCCCACTGCCTCACGAAGGGGTCAGCTTCATTGAGAATCACTTCTCCTATTTGGTATTAATGTTCTGAACGCCACATAGAAGGAAGCTATGAAAAAAATGCTAATAGGTTTTGAAAATACTCAGTTCTTTTTGAGGAAGGAATTCAATTATGTAGAAATGAAAAATATAATGTTTATTAATGGAAACATTCCTACAGGTAGCTAAGACATGATTAACCCATATTTAGTGAGTGTCAGTTTTTCTTAGTGGCCTTGCTAGGAAATGGGTTAGCAACCATTCACTTTGGAACAGTGCTCAGATTTATTATTCCTTCTGTTCTTTCAAATCTTCGATCCCCAAGTTGACTCTCATTTGGAGGTGGCAAAGGTTGGAAATAGGTCTCTTTGCACTAACTCTGAGGGAAAGCTGAGAGGCTGTATTTTCCCTGAAAATAGTTTCTAATGTGTTGCTGAAGTTTCTTGGGCCCTTAATGGGGCTTGAAGGTGGCAATCAGGTCACTGAACTATTTCTAGCATTTTAAAAAGATCTAATGAACTATATGGACTAATTTAAAATTCAGGATTCTTTACCTTTTGTTAATAACAAGAGTCGTCTCAAGTTGATGGTCAGTTTTGGTTGACTGTCACCTATGCTTTTGAAACCAAAGGAAAACAAATGGTTTCTTTGATAAGATGCAATTAATGTTAGTTAGATAAAGTGCTATAAAACATGAGTCTGTGGTATTATAAAACAGAAGGCATCCCTGAAGGTGAAATTGTTGGCAACAGTGTTTAATGAGAGAAAATGGTCTGAACACCTGGTTTTGTAATGGATAAATCAAAATAGGGAAACCGGAGTAAATCATGAGGACAACCAAAATGAATGGTGGTTATCTAGTCCCCTAGCAGTGCCAATGAAGGAAAATATGCACTTAAAATATGTGTGTGTGTGTGTGTGTGTATGTGTATGTATATACACACATATATATATATATGAACCTAAGTAATTTTGGGGTCTATTGAACTTAATATTTATCCTTGGTTTCTTTAAATCTATTTTATGTAGTATCTTGGAATATCATAAAAATAAGATTCTTACGTGAACATAGATGGGTAGCTGTCACCTCACCTCCTGTTATTATCATCTGTTTAGCACAAAGTTGCTCCCCCCAAAAATGTTTATTAATTGAGTTCTTTCATATTATAAATTTTTTATAAATGTCTATTAAAAGATTTCATTAAACTTAGATATGCCTAAACTCTATATTAAAAGGAACCCTTCTCGCTGAGATTGTTATTTTTTTTCTTCTTCAAAATGTTTACATTCCTCTTACAAATCCTCATTTATCTTTAGGTTCTTGGTCTCCCTGAAGAACCTCCTGAAACAGCTGAAGAAGTAAGCTTATTTTTTTCCTTTGGAAATTAAATATATTTTCTGTTTTCTTTAACATCAAGTGAGTACATCTTCTCTTGGTTTGGGTTTAGAAAGAGAAGAGAGCACTGTAATTAGGTCTGTTTTGAATGTGGTATGATCTCAAACCCCTTAGCTCTAGTCCTGTTTTGGAGCCGGCTCTCTGCTGAGGTCGGGGGTGGGGGATGTTTAGAGCGCTCCCACTTCATCGGGCAGAGAAATGATTACGTGGGCTTTTCCAAACTTGAGGTCAGCAAAGGAGTTAGTTATTTTTTTTAAGATTTTATTTCTTTATTTAGCAGAGAGAGAGAGTGAGAGCGCATGAGCACAGTAGGCAGGCAGAGGGAGAGGGAGAAGCAGGCTTCTTGCTGACCAAGGAGCCCGATGCGGGGCTCGATCCCCACACCCCGAGATCACAACCTGAGCCGGAGGCAGATGCTTAACCGACTGAGCCACCCAGGCGCCCCAGGAACTACTTATGAAAACAGAATCAGTATAGGCAGATGACTTCAAATTGTAGTTTTCCTACTAAAATAGAGGAGCTGAAGAATACAGGTACTGTGTAGATGTTTGAGTTGAAAGATGGTTTGGGGTTTTGGGGTGCGGGGTCTGACGGAACCTCCACTCTCTGTTGAGCTGCCCTCTGCCCGGCTGCGCGTCTTTAAAGCCCTGAAGTCCTTCAGGCAAAGGAAAGCCCTGATGCTTTTCCCCCGTCTAGGGCTCAGCAACTGTTGGACTCCTTGAAAACTGGTTTTGAGGCCGCCGGGATAGCCCCTGGCAGGGTCTCATTTGTATCAACACATTCGCAAACATTTCAGTTGAGGACGTAGGACGTCTGAGGAAAATCCAAAAGTCAGACAATGAAGGGTGCAATCCCGACACGGAACCTCCAGGAGAAACACAAAAAAAGAAGAACAACTTCTAATCCCTTTCTGTTATACCCAGCAAATTCAAGTCTGTGATGACGTCTGTCCTGACCCACACACTCGACATTCTCACTTCTCATCAAGCGCTGGGTTGGTATCCACAACAGCTGTTTATCATACAGAAGTAATTAAATATAGCTCTGTTTGACAGGGAACACCTTTTATGAATTTCCTCTGGCTTCAAAACACATGACCTCATTGCTACAGGACAGACTGGGTGGAGCTTTCACTATATATGTATGTATATGTGGTAGCTGTGACTATGATAAGGAGCCATTAGAAAATTCCCATTCTAGCCGAAGCCTGCTTGCCTTTCGGAGCAGACTAATAGATGAGCCAACTAATGACTCCATGCATTTCTGATAGGAGAGGGAGGGACTCCATGCATAATTAATGCAATTCCTACTTAAGCAGTACACTTTTGATTCTTTTAGTGCCTGTTATGTATTTAGTATTAGAACCATCCAGAGTTCTAAATAATACAGTAAGAATTTAAAAAATGAGAGGAGGGGCGCCTGGGTGGTTCAGCGCATCTGCCTTCAGCTCAGGTCATGATCCCCGGGTCCTGGGATCCAGCGCCAGTTTGGGCTCCCTGCTCAGCGGGGAGTCTGCTTCTCCCTCTGCCCCTCCCCCCTGCTTGCGCTTGTTCTCTCTCACCGTCTCGCAAAAAATAAATAAAATATTTTTAAAAAGAGTTTCCTGACAGTTACTATTTAATAAACATCAGAAAAAAATTACTTCCTCGTCTTTTTTGTTTTTTGAATGTCTTTTGATATTAACTAGCAGTTGCCAAGCTCTTGGAAAGAGCTTAGAAAGAGCTATGTAACTGTTTAATCAGGGAGAAATGATGGGGAAACCCAATAGGTAAAGGAGATGGAGCAGGAGCTCTATCTCAGCAGCTAGGACCAGCTCCTCTGGGCACAGCCTACAAGGACAGAGTAAGTTGGGAAACTTTGTTTCCTTCCAATGCAGTGTTCTTCTCCTCCATAGACTCTGAGGTGGCACTGGAACTTCTTGGTTTGGTAGATGAATTTTGAAGCCCACATGCAACCTTGATATTATCTGGAAAGACAGAAGCATCTAGTTTCTGGTGTCCTCTCCGGAAGGCTTGGTCACTGATCTCGATCAATAGGAAGATGTTCTTCCGTTTCAGAAGGCATTTTTATATTTAGAGTGAATTTTATCTAGACCTTTATGTTGGCCTACTACTCTCAGAGCTCAGTGCCTACAAAACCCCACACTAGCTGTGTAGAATTACAGAAGTTTCATAGGAGTAGCGGTTTTGGAATTGCGAAGAGCAGCGGATTGGAATTCTTACTTGATCATTTTTATTCCTCAGATAGTTACTGTTGCTCTCCGATGTCCAAGTGGGAGTGTCCTGAGGCGAAGATTTCTTAAGTCTTGCAGTTCACGGGTGAGGAAATTCATATTTTGAGAAATAATTTTTGTTGAATTTGACAATAGTTTACTCCCATGCCGTGGGGGAGGTATTACCACTCTCTTGTCTGGGTCTCCCTTCAGGGGTGGTAAAGGGCATTTATGTGTACTCGGTGTTCCAGAAATTTGGATAATTAAGCATGCTAGATCTTTTTGAACTGTGATTTCTGCTTTTTTTTTTTTTTCAGTTCTTTTCCTATTTTTTATTTGTACCTTGGGGTACCTGAGTGGCTCAGTTGGTTAAGCATCTGCCTTCGGCTCAAGGAATGATCCCAGGGTCCTGGGATCGAGTTCCGCATCGGGCTCCCTGCTCAGCAGGGAGTCTGCTTGTCCCTCTGCCTGCTGCTTTCCCTGCTTGTGCTCTCTCTCTCTATGACAAATAAATAAATAATCTTAAAAAAAATAAAATACAGAGGGGCACGTGGGTGGCTCAGTTGGCTAAGCATCCGACTCTTGATTGCAGCTCAGGTCATAATCTCATGGTCATGAGATCGAGCCCCGAGTTGGGCTCCTCACTGAGTGTGGAGCCTGCTTGGGATTCTCTCTCACCCTCTCCCACTCCTACCCCCTTGCCTGTGCTCTCTCTAAAAAAGTAAACTAACTCTCTTAAGCCTTTTTTTTAATCTTTTTTTTTTTAATTTATTTTTCAACAGAGAGAGAGACAGCGAGACAGGGAACACAAGCAGGGGGAGTGGGAGAGGGAGAAGCAGGCTTCCTGCTGAGCAGGGAGCCCGATGTGGGGCTCGATCCCAGGACCCTGGGATCATGACCTGAGCCGAAGGCAGACGCTTAACGACTGAGCCACCCAGGTGCCCTCTCTTAAGCCTTTAAAGATGATCTTATCAGAGACCCCAGAGGCCTGCATGAGATTATAAGGAAAAGATTTCAGGGCAGGTCACCACTCAGTGAAAGTCAAGCTTCCATATAACTGTAAAGCATCAGATTTTGATGGCCGGGATGCACTAACTGTAAAATGTATTCTTACATAGTTGACCAAATTGAACTACTGATGGTTTTTATTTAGTTTTGGTATAATCCATTGAGTTGTTTCAGAAAATACGAGTGACCATTTTCAACAGTTCAAGTCTCTTAGTTTAATGAATAATGGTATCGTCAGCAGAGATGAGGATATTTGACTTCTTTGATTTATACTTGGATGACATGCAGGCAGTTTACTAAAGTGTTTCACATCATTCAGATGGAAATGGAAATGAGCATGAATGGAAACAGGCAATAATACAGCTGTTTTACATTGTTTCAGATCCTAAGACTTCATCTGCACAGTCCCCTTGAAACAGTGATAGTATGAAACCAGCATATATACCTACCAATTTACAACCGGTTAGGTAGACAGTGTGTTCTCTAGGTGGTCCCTCTTTGTAAAGTCCCAAAAAGCTGATGAGTAATCTGCAGAAAATTTTTCAGACAGATCAAAAACTTTAGCTGCTCCTTATATAAAGAACGGGATTGAGAGACCTAGTCCTGCAATTGTTTGAAAGTAAAACTAACACAGGGACGCCTGGGTGGCTCAGTTGGCTAAGCGACTGACTGCCTTCGGCTCAGGTCATGATCCTGGAGTCGCAGGATCAAGTCCTGCATCGGGCTCCCTGCTCAGCAGAAGTCTGCTTCTCCCTCTGACTCTCCCCCGTCTCATGCTCTCTCTCATTCTCTCTCTCACAAATAAATAAAATCTTTAAAAAAAAAAATGTTTGGCCTTATTAGAGTCAAAGAAGTGCAGATTAAAATGGGACAGAATTTTCTACCTATCAGGTTGTCAGAGATGAAAAAGAAGAGTACACAGTTTTGACCAGTGTGTGGAGAAAACAGTGATTCTCATTAATTGTTCCTGTGAATATAAATTGGGCCACGGTTCCTATAGAATAATTTACTCATATTATCTTTTTTTTAAGACTTTATTTGAGAGAGAAAGAGAGGGAGGGAGTGGCAGAGGGAGAGGCAGAAGCGGGCTCCCCACTGAGCAGGGAGCCCCATGTGGGGCTCGATCCCAGGACCCTGGCATCACGACCTGAGCCGAAGGCCGACGCTTAACCAGCTGAGCCACCCAGGCGCCCCTCATATAATCTTTAACATAAGCAATAGCAGGGAGGACCATAGGGGAAGGGAGGGAAATCTGAAGGGGGAGAAATCAGAGAGGGAGATGAACCATGAGAGACTATGGACCCTGGCAAACAAACTGAGGGTTTCAGAGGGGAGGTGGGTGGGGGGATGGGATAACAGGGTGGTGGGTATTAAGGAGGGCATGTGTTATGATGAGCACTGGGTGTTATGCTCAACTAATGAATTGTTGAACACTACATTGAAAACTAATGATGTACTATACAGTGGCTAACTGAACATAATAAAAAAATAAAATATATCTTTTGGTAATTAATTTCATTGATGCGAATTTATTCTATGGCAGTGAGACAAATGATCAAAGGTATAAGTGTTTATGTGGAGATTGGTTAAATTAAGGCGTATCCAAATATTGGAAAATTATGAAGCTTTATGACCTAGATGTTTATTACATGGAGTATCGGTAGGTTCTTGGATGGTAGGTGGTAGGAGAAGTCAGAGATTATCTATAATTGATACTCCACCTTCCCCCAAGAACATTCTAGTACCCAGCTTTCTTCCTAAAGCAGCAAACAGTCCTTTGGCAGGCATTTTTAGGCAGTAGGAAATGGAAGTTTTGACAATTACTGTGGAAATCTTCATAACAGGAAATGTTCTCAATTTATAGGAAATAGCCCATTGGAAATTGGGCTATCATAAGGCAGAGTTACTGGGGCCTGGATATGTCTCTGGTGACAGTGTTCCTGAGTGATTTTGACTAGTGGCTTCGATTTTTATCTAAATTTTTTTCCCATATGCTAACCTTTTGTTCATAACTTTTTAATTGAATAACCTTTCCATTTCCTAGGGTTGGGGCTTTGCTATTTGTTAAATGCCCCTGCTGTCTGTAGGTGCCTTCAGTTCCTAGGCCTTCTCTGAAATTTCGTAAAGGTATTCAAGGTTATTTGCATCTCACCAATTCTTGGCATGCTATTTTCCTTTAAACGCTAGAAGGTTCTGTGTCATTACTCGTAGGGGCATGATTTAACAGTGAAAGAATTGTAAAATATCATGGTGACCTAGAGGGATACAACTGTGCCCAGTATCTGATAGCTAAACTTTTTATCTGTTAGGTCTTACTTGACTGGATGATGAAAATCGGGTACCACACATCTCGATACAGCCTTTCTACTTCCTTTCCCAGACGGCCTCTGGAAGTGGAGGGGGGCTGGTCACTGCAGGACACAGGAATAACTATGGATACTGTACTCATTGTGGAAGAGAAAGAGCAGAGCAACTAATTAAGAAATGAGAACTACCTTTTCTCCATAAAATCAGGGATGCCATGACCTTACAGGACAATAAAGGATTCACATGAAAATTACACCATTCCTTGACTGAGCTCAAGGAGGTAAACATTTTAATGTTGATATCCTTGGGAACGTGTGGACATAAAGGATTGGAAAAGGATTGCTCTCTGCATATAATAGTTTTTGGAATTTGCTGTCTTATAATGTCCCAAATGAAAACTAGATAAAAATGTATACAGTAAGGCACTCAATGATTTGTATTTTTCCTGGCTGACATCATTTATCACTGTGTTGAAGGACAAAGTCATACAACTCTCTTTTCTGCCTCTGCAGTCCACCTTGCCACACTGAAGATTTCACAGTTCAAACTCTCTAAAATTGTTTAAGTAGGAATGTTTGTTCTGCTGTATTTCTAGAAATTAAACTTTAAAGACATTTTAAAGGTCTTTAATGCTTTAAAGTTCTTTTTGATACCTGATAAAGGGTTAGTATCAAAAGTGTGTAAAGAACTTATAAAACTCAACACCCAGAAAAAAAATAATCCAATTAAAAATGGGCAGAAGACATGAACAGACATTTCTCCAGAGAAGACACAGATGGCCAACAGACACATGAAAAGATGCTCAACAACACTGATCATCAGGGAAGTAGAAATCGAAACTACAGTGGGCTATTACCTCATACCTATCAAAATGGCTAGAATCAACAACACAGGAAACAACAGGTGTTGGCAAGAAGGTGGAGAAAAAGGAACTCTCTTGCACCGTTGGTGGGAATGCAAACTGCCACAGCCGCTATAGAAGACAGTATGGAGGTTCTTCAAAACGTTAAAAATAGAACCACCCTACGATTCAGTAATTGCACTACTAGGTATTTACCCAAAGAATACAAGAACACGGCGCCTGGGTGGCTCAGTTGGTTAAGCGGCTGCCTTCGGCTCGGGTCATGATCCTGGAGTCCTGGGATCGAGTCCCGCATCAGGCTCCCTGCTCAGCGGGGAGTCTGGTTCTCCCTCTGACCCTCTTCCCTCTCGTGCTCTCTATCTCTCATTCTCTCTCTCTCAAATGAATAAATAAAATCTTTAAAAAAAAAAAGAATACAAGAACACTAATTCAAAGGGATACATGCACCCCTGTGTTTATAGCAGCACTATTTACAATAGCCAAGATATGGAAGCAGCCCAAGTGTCCCATCAGTTGATGAATGGATAAAGAAGGGATGGTACACACACACACACAACACACACACACACACACACACACACACACCACAATGGAATATTATTCAGCCATAAAAAGAACGCAATTTGCCATTTGCAGTGACATGGATGGAGCAAGAGAGTATAATGCTAAGCGAAATCAAAGAAAGACAAATACCATATGATTTCATTCATGTGGAATTTAAGAAACAAAGGAAAAAAGACAAACCAAGAAACAGACTCCTTTATAGAGAACAAACTGATGGTTGAACTAGGTGATGGGGATTAAGGAGGGCACTTGTCATGAGCACCAGGTGATTAAAATAAAAACTTAAATAAAAAATAAAGTTTGTTTTAATAAAGATCTTTTTGAAAGATATGTATTGTTTACTGAATTAATGTCAAGATTTATTTGATTTCACCTTGCATTAAATTGGAACATTTACAAGTTCTGGGATCAGTATTTTAAAAATAAAACAAAACATTAAAATATAGGTGAATTTTTTTAATATATATCTCTGGTCATTTCATTTTCCTGCAGTGTTATAGTCATGTACTTTTAATACCAAGTTCAACTCACAAGTGTGGGATATAAAAAGATCTTTGTTGTGGTCACTCCCTTTTTCTTTTCCTATGAGTGTTAAGAGTCAGTTAAGTTGACTCCTCTTTGTGTTGGCCTCTCTTTAATGCTCCTTTTACCTCTTGTGTGGAATTTATTACACTGTATTATCGCTGTGTTTTTGTTTTCCCAAATACATAATTCCTTAAAAGCAAGGATTGTATCTTTTTTTTTCCCTCCAGAAGTACCTAGTATATAGTAGATGCTTAATACATGTTCGAAAATAATAAGTCGTCTCAACGTCTTTGTTTTTTGGCTCTGGAATATCCCACATTGAAAAAAATGAAGACTCATATTTTATTTTATTTTATTTTTTAAAGATTTTATTTATTTATTTGAGAGAGAGAATGAGATAGAGAGAGAGAGCATGAGAGGGAGGAGGGCCCGAGGGAGAAGCAGACTCCCTGCTGAGCAGGGAGCCAGATGCGGGACTCGATCCCGGGACTCCAGGATCATGATCTGAGCGAAGGCAGTCGCTTAACCAACTGAGCCACCCAGGCGCCCGAAGACTCATATTTTAAATTAATCATAAAAGGGTTTCAATTTTTCCCTTCCTACTACCTTCTCTTTTTTTTTAACATACAATGTATTATTTGTTTCAGAGGTACAGGAGGGTTCTAGAGGGGAGGGGGGTGAGGGAGGGGTTAGCCTGGTGAAGGATATTAAGGAGAGCACATATTGAGTGGAGCACTGGGTGTTATATGCAAACAATGAGTCATGGAACACTACATCAAAAACTAATGTGTGGTGACTAACATTAACAATAAAATAAAATTTAAAAAGGGTTTCAAAACTACAGTTATAAAGATTTTTTTTAATTTTTATTTATTTTTTTGACAGCGAGAGAGGGTACACAAGCAGGGGGAGTGGGAGAGGAAGAAGCAGTCTTCCCGCGGAGCAGGGAGCCCGAGGTGGGGCTCGATCCCAGGATCCCGGGATCATGATTTGAGCTGAAGGCAGACGCTTAACGACTGAGCCACCCAGGCGCCCCCAGTGTATATATTTTTGTGTCTGTCCAGTATTCTTTGAAATAGACTCAAATGCAGATAGAAATACAAAAGAAGATGAACACACGCTTCCATATTTACCCGTTCTGATCACAAACTTTCATAGGCTCTATTTTCAGTTGTCTTTTCACATCCATGTCCAAGGATACAGACTGGAAAATGATTAAAGAAAAATATGGGACACCTGGGTGGCTCAGTTAAGCCTCCGGCTCTTGATTTCAGCTTGGGTCATGATCTCAGGGTTGTGAGATTGAGCCCTGCGTTGGGCTCCACGCTCAGCAGGGAATCTGCTTGAGATTCTCTCTCCCTCTCCCTCTGCCCCTCCTACCCTAAAATAAGATCTTTTTAAGTATTTTTTTTTTGAAAGATTTTATTTATTTGACAGAGTGAGAGAGCACAACCAGGGGGAGAGGCAGAGGGAGAGGGAGAAGCAGACTCCCTGCTGATCAGGGACCCCAACTTGGGGCTCGATCCCAGGACCCTGGGATCATGACCCCAGCTGAAGGCAGACACTTAACCAACTGAGCCACCTAGGCACCCCTAAAATAAATCTTTTAAAAAATCTTTGTTCTTGTTTAAAAAGCCAAATTTTAGTAATTAACAAATGGTCCTTAAAATTTGTGGAATAGTTTCCTCCTGTCCCCCCAATTTCTAACACAAAAATCATTAGGGCCATTTCTTTATGTGGTGATACAGTTTTCTTTTCTGTAAACAAAGAAAAAACACTATGTTGCATGGATAGCTAAAGGGCTAATGATAGATGCTTGTTTCCTTGGTTACAAAAGCTAATTCTTCTGGGTATAGGGAAGGGAATTACAGATGCCTTAAATCTTTAGATTCTTGGTTAATAATATTCTTTTATACCATAGTCTCTTGCAATGAGTTGGAAAAATTATAGACATCATTAAGGAATTATTATTTTTAGGTGTGTGATTGGCATTGTGGTTAGGTGAGAAAAATATCTCTAAAGATACATGCTACAATAGATAGGACTTATGGTAAAATTTTGCTTCAAAATGGGGAGAGGACAGTAGGTGGGGATATTGCTGAATAAATATTAAACATAAGTAAAAGATACATTGGGTTACCTTATACTCTTCTTTCTAATTTTGTATAATTTTTCATTATATCAACAGGCTTCAGATTTTTTAAAAAGGACAGACCTGTAAGTTTGTCAAGTGATATATGAGAAAGCTGTGACTAATAGTTTAGATTTAAAAAAAAGAATAGCCCGAGGGAACACTAACTTGAATCCTATTTCGACTTGGCCTGCTTATTATTGTTTTTAATAATATACTTCAGTGGAAGACTGAAATTGAAAAATTTAAAAGACCTACATCTTTTTTTAAGTTCTCCCCCATTTTCTTCCTTTTTAAAAAAATTTTTTATTGTTATGTTAATCACCATACATTACATCATTAGTTCTTGACGTAGTGTTCCATGATTCATTGTTTGTGCATGACACCCAGTGCTCCACACAGAACGTGCCCTCTTTAATACCCATCACCAGGCTAACCCATCCCCCCACCCCCTCCCCTCTAGAACCCTCAGTTTGTTTTTCAGAGTCCATCGCCTCTCCTGGTTCGTCTCCCCCTCCGATTTACTCCCCTTCATTCTTCCCCTCCTGCTATCTTCTTCTTCTTCTTAACATACATTGCATTATTTGTTTCAGAAGTACAGATCTGTGATCCAACAGTCTTGCACAATTCACAGCACTCACCATAGCACATACCCTCCCCAATGTCTATCACCCAGTCACCCCATCCCCCCCCACCCCTCCAGCAACCCTCAGTTTGTTTCCTGAGATTAAGAGTTCCTCATATCAGTGAGGTCATATGATACATGTCTTTCTCTGATTGACTTATTTAAAAGACCTACATCTTAACATACACTAAAGAATATTCTAACTATTTAAACATGCCATAATTTTGTTATTCTTCATCTCTGTTCATGCTTCACTTTTTTTTTTAAAGATTTTATTTATTTGAGAGAATGAGAGAGAGAGAACATGAGAGGGGGGAGGGTCAGAAGGCGAAGCAGACTCCCTGCCGAGCAGGGAGCCCGATGTGGGACTCAATCCTGGGACTCCAGGATCATGACCCGAGCCGAAGGCAGTCGCTTAACCAACTGAGCCACCCAGGCACCCCCCTTTTTTTTCTTTTTTAAAGATTTATAATTATAAAAAATATCTTATTTGTCAGAGAGATCGGAGCGCACAGGCAGTGGGAACTGCAGGCAGAGGGAGAAAGCAGGCTCCCCAGCAAGCAGGGATCCCAATGGGGAACTCCATCCCCGGACCCTGGGATCATGACCTGAGCCGAAGGCAGACACTTAACTGACTGAGCCACCCAGGCGTCTCTAAGATTTATTTATTTGAGAGAGAGAGGGAGAGTGGAGGGGGGTGCAGAGGGAGAAAAATCTCAAGCAGACTGCCCCCCTGAGTGTGGAGTCTGACTCGGGGCTCAAGCTCCCAACCCCGAGATCATGCCCTGAGCAGAAACCAAGTCAGACGCTCAGCCGACTGAGCCACGCAGGTGTCCCATGCTTCACTTTGTAGTGGACCGATGCTGCACATAACTCATTTGAGTTTGATAATACAATAGTTACCTGTTACCAAAAAAC